CAGGCAGGAGCTGTGAGTGCAGGGCCAGCTGTTGGGGGTTTTGTTGCCTTTTTAATTTATTTTTAATTTTTTTTTTTAAAGTATGGATTCATGTTCCTCATGGGCAGAGGAGATGGAAGTGGCCACAGGGGCTGGTGGACAAGGGCGAGCGTTTGTGTGCCCATGCTATGGGCAGCTCTGTCCCTGTCCTGGAGCATCTGACCCCTTTGCGATACATTTCTGAGTCTCTCTCTCTCTTTTCTTTCCCCTCAACTTTTCTTTTCTTTCCCCTCAACTTTTCTTCTCTCTCCCCTCAACTTTTCTTCTCTCTCCCTCAAATCTTTTTTTACCCTCACTTCTCAATTTTTTTCCTCCCCTCCCTCAATTTTTTTCCTCCCCTCCCTCAATTTTTTTCCTCCCCTCCCTCAATTTTTTTCCTCCCCTCCCTCAATTTTTTTCCTCCCCTCCCTCAATTTTTTTCCTCCCCTCCCTCAATTTTTTTCCTCCCCTCCCTCAATTTTTTTCCTCCCCTCCCTCAATTTTTTTCCTCCCCTCCCTCAATTTTTTTCCTCCCCTCCCTCAATTTTTTTCCTCCCCTCCCTCAATTTTTTTCCTCCCCTCCCTCAATTTTTTTCCTCCCCTCCCTCAATTTTTTATTTTTTCCCCTCAACTTTCCCCCACCTCCTCAAATATTTTTTTCCCTCAATTTTTTTCCCCCCCTCCTTCCTCTTCCCCAATCCCCATTTTACCCTGGTTTGGGACACAACTTTTCCTAGGTGCCCATGACCTCACTCCCTCCGTAACACCTCAAATACTTACCCGAGTGCTCCCCGGGGGAGTGGACCTCGCTGATGCTGGAGGACGACTGGGGGGAATCCGCCTGCAAGGCCTTGAAGATGGCGTTGGGAGAGATGTGGGTTTGCTCCGAGCCCTCCTCCTGCTCCGACTGCCCGTTCTTCACCGACTTTCTCCTCCGTGGTTGGTATTTGTAGTCGGGATGATCCTTCTTGTGTTGCACCCGCAGCCGTTCGGCTTCTTCCACGAAGGGACGTTTCTCGCTCTCGTTCAACAACCTGGGGTTGGTTAAAGGGGTGGGGGGGATATGGGGGGTGAGGGGGTTGCAGCTCATGGGGGGGTATTAACAACAACCCAAACCTCTCCCTTGGGTCACCTCGAATAGCAACACAAAGCCCCCCCCACAATGTTGAACCCTCTATCTGGGGCACGTTACCCCCTTTTTACCCC